ACTAGGCCTAATGAATTGTTTTCCTTGCAGTTCCTCTATCTGTTTCTTAAGCTCAACTAACTCAGTTGGGGACATCCTATAGGGTGCTATAGATATAGGTGAGGTACCTGGCACTAAGTCTATGCTAAACTCAATCTCTCTCTCAGGTGGTAAACTAGACACATCCTTAGGAAATACTTCTGGGAATTCTCTCACTAAGGGAATCTCATCTAGCTTACTATCAGTCTCAAGTGTTAAAGAAGCTAAGATCATGTACACTCTTTCATTGTCTTTTAAACAAGTTTTAATGTCAGCAGCACTAAGAAATTCCGTACTCTTACATTCACCAAAGGAAATAGATTTCTCAAAGCAGTTTAAAAGGACATGGTGAGAAGATAACCAATCCATACCAAGAATTACATCTAATTGACTAAGAGGCAAACAAATTAAGTCAACTAGAAACTGCTTATCAGAAACTGTCAAAGGACATTTCAAACACACTAGGGATGTAGTCACAGGACCATTAGTAGGGGTTTCAACAACTAAATCAAAATCTAACAAAGACACAGGCAAATTCAATTTTTGGACACAAGAGACAGAAATAAAGGAATGAGTTGCACCAGAATCAAATAGTACAACAAAAGGAGTCTCGGCTATGAAACAAGTACCTTGTATCAAATTTTCTGACAGAGAAGCTTCGACACCACTAAGAGAAAATACTCTCCCTACAGTCTTTGGACGCTCAATTTGTGAACCCGACCCAATAACACGTGTTCTTCGTGGTTCAGGACATTGGGTGCTGATGTGACCCTTGCCACTGCAATTGAAACAGGTAATCTCCTTGTCAAGACACTCAGACTGATTATGACCAACACGTCCACACTTCCAGCATCTTCATGAAGGATTGGACACAGACCCTCCAACACTTCCAGTAGCACTAACAGTGGATCCTCTAGTAAGGGACTTGCTTTTATTAGCAGCAGCTTTACTCCCTTGAAATCTATTAGAAACGGAGTAAGACTTACTCCTACCCGAAGTACTAGAACTCACAGCACGGATAGGACCTCCAACTTCTTTATAAAAAGCAGCACGAGCACGGTTGTCACGATCATAAATGCTACACTTATTAACCAGAGTGGGAAAGTGATATATCTCCTGATAGTTAATTGCAGTTTTCACTTCAGGACGTAGACCATTTACAAATTTTATGCATTTAGCTCTTTCACCACCCTTACCATGATAGTGTGTACAATAACGAACCAAAGCATCAAATTTGGCAGCATACTCTGCCACAGTGTCGTTCCCTTGATTCAGTTCAAGGAATTCCATTTCTTTCCTACTCCTCACATTATCCGGAAAATATTTTTCAAGAAAAGCTTTCTTAAAGTTGTCCCAATTCAAGTGCACCCCTCCATCAATCATCCTCAGAAGTGCTCCTTGTAATATTCATTTTTTTAAAAGGGGTATTTTTGTAATTTTTATTAATGGCATTTTCGCAATTTTATTAAAGTTAGAGGGGTAAATGGGTAACTTGGAACGGGCCGTTCCAAGCAATAAAAAGACACTAAATTTTAAGTTGGGAACGGGTCCAGAACGGGCCGTTCCAACAAGGAGAACGGGCCGTTCTGATTTTAGAACGGGCCGTTCTGGAAGGAACACGGGCCATTCCGGAAGGAGAACGGGCCGTTCTGGATGAGTCTCGGAACGGGCCGTTCTGGTTTCGGAACAGGCCGTTCCAGTTCAAAATTTTACGTGGATTTTTCAGGCCCAGAACGGGCGTTCCGCTTTTGGAACGGGCGGTTCCGAGTTAGGCAGGCAGAACTCTATAAATAGGGGGTTGGGGTGTTGGAAAAGCAGGATTGAGAGAGAGGGTCCTAGAGAGAGAAAGAGGAGAGAGAGAGAGAAAAAGGGAGAGGAGGGGAAAGAAAAGAGGAAAGAAAGGAAGAGGAATCCAGTAGAGGAGGTTCTGCCAGGGGAGAGAAAAGAGGAGGGAGAGGAGGAGATTCTGCCCGAGTTTTGGTTCAGGTTTATCCAAGTAAGGGTAGTACTTATAAGACTTAATCTAGTATGTATGAGCATGATAGGGGTAGTATAACTCTTAATATGCTATTTTATATGAAGATTGTCATTTGTTTAAGTTGATGGTTGTTTTAGGTATTTAAATATTTGTTATTATATTGGATAATTTGGCAGGGTTATGGATATGTTTGTATATAATTATGGAATATGCTATGTGTATGTGGTTTGGAAAGGTAAATAGGACTTAGAGGAGTAAGGTTATGGTATGGATTGGGAGATCTCTTGGTGAGATCAGGATATAATCTTTGGAAAAACATGGAATTTTGGAATCCCATGGTGAGGATTCCAATATGGAACTTTTCCAAGGATTATATAATAAACCACTTCAGATGTTAGGTGGATTCTGAAGTACTCCTCTAAGTATTCTATTTGCTACCGGTATGGGTCTAGGACGAGTCATACCGATGGATGAGGTGGCCTCACCAGGGTTACGTGACGACGTAATCCAACTGTATATTTTCCATGAGAGGTTAGGCGTGAGACATGGGTTGCTGACATGTTTCACCGTATCAACACTTGGTTTGGATGGTGTTGAGGCCAACATTTGGTTTGGATGTGTTGGTTACATCATGGATTATACAGTGGTGTGACTTTGTTTTGGATGTGGAATATGTATACATATGGTATGGATTGTATACATTGGTTATGGATTCTTTATTATCATGAAATATGTATGCATTGGCATGGATGTGTTTACATTATATTTTGGATTGGTCTATATTTAGCTTGGAAATGACTTGTTGGTCTGGATAAATACTGTGGATAAATATCTGTTTAATGATATTTTATTATGATGTACTATGATTGGTTTTATATGTGTTAACCCTTATATTTCCATGATGGACTGTGATGATCTCACTATGTGGGGGAGAAGATCAGGTATGAGGCTTTGGGATAGCAAGGAGTTTTTTGGATAGCTGCTTTGAGAAGTGGCTAGGTTTAGAGCTTGACCAGCACCTAAGGTGTCTTATTTTGATGTCTTCTTGACGTTGTAATTACATTATCTTTTTGGATTACTGTATAACCTTAATGACTTTATTATAAAAATATGTTATATATTTTGGAAACAATTTTATATGTTATTGTATATTTACACTCTAGTGTAACTGACTCTTATTCTATTTTTTTATATATATATTATTTATCTTTGGTTGGTTCTAGATGTGACGGCCTATGGTGGGTCGTTACACTCCTTCCCACCAAAAGTGAGCATCAGCAGTCAACATGAAGGTGGCCAACTTTACCTTCTGAGTGAGGGGACAATCCATAACGTTGAAGATTTTCTCGATCTCTGTTAGCCAATTCATAGCAGCATCTGGATCATATCCTCCTTTAAAGGTAGGTGGGTGATTTCGTTGAAATTGCTCTAACCAGTTAGGAGCGCCCTCAGCCCTATTTTTATTATTCATAGCTTGTGCTAATGCTTGAAGAGCATCAGCAATCGCACGATCATTTCTACCAGCCATAGTCTAAGAAAATAATACAATTAATAAACATAATCAATCATCATACTAGCATACCAACAAGTTTCACAATCAGTTAAGTACATCATTCATGTACCAAATAAGCATAGTAAACCAAATAAGCATAGTAAACTCATAACTCACGGTCGATTAGATCGACCTGCTCTGATATCACTAAATGTGACACCCTCTACCCCATCATTAATACACAATAAACGTAAACAACCATTAATTTTTTTTCCTTTTTCTTTTTGAGTAAATAAAACCTTTCATAGTTTAAT